ATGCAGTGCAAAGATTAATGTATATGTAATAGTACAACATCTATACTGAATACTTAAGAAAGAAAGAAAGAAAGAAAGAAAGAAAGAGAAAGAAAGAAGATTCAGAGAAGCTTCAGCTACTGAACTAGGTCAGACTTCCCCTGACTGCAGGTTCATTTACTCAGATGTAGCTACTGCAAGAGTTTGCATACAGTAAGTGCCAATGATCGCTCAGAGGTTTGTTAGTGCTGGCGAACACCATGTGAATCCTGTTATGCTGTGTCAAGAATATTTCTTTGCCATTTAATTTGGTTTATTGGCTTGATGATGCAAAGGGCCAAAATTCAATTACAATGTTGTTTAAAGGCTATAGAAATGTCTCAGTGTATTTACATACATTAGTAGTAAATGGTAACCATTAAGTCATTAAATCATTTGGTTACCAACATTCTTCAAAATATCTTATTTTGTGTTCCACAGAAAAAAAGTCACACAGGTTTAGAATGACATGAGAGTGAGTAAATGATAACAACATTTTCAGTTTTGGGTGAACTATCCCATTAAAAGGCACTTATTATGCAAAATTCACTTTTACATGTTGTTTGAATATAAATGTATGTTGGCAGTGTGTGTACACAACCACCCTATAATGACAAAAATTCACCCACTCAGTTTTTTAATCCCCATAAATCATAAGCAGAGTCTCAGTACAAGCCGTAATCTGTGAAGTCACATTTTACAAGCCCCGCCCATGACTGTTGACGGACACTGCCGTATTAGCAGAGACCCCTCCCCGAGTGAGCCACACACAATCCGCCATGTTTATCTTCACGCTAGAGCATTTAAAAGCAGCATTCAAGTAAGAAATGTCTTCTTATTAGATCTACAAAAAATATTTATTCAAGAGCAGTGAGTGATTTTTGGACTTTGGAATTATATTAACAGTGTAGACAGCAGTAGGTACTGTATATTACGCTGCTGTAAATTAATACACAGATCTAATATAAACATGCAGTTTCTTTCCCAGCTGTTTACCTTCACCGACTGTGTTTTTTTAAACATAACTTATGTGTGTTTTTAAAGGGGTCATCGGATGCCCATTTTCCACAAGTTGATATGATTCTTTAGGGTCTTAATGAAAAGTCTGTAACATAGTTTGGTTAAAATCATTAAAAAACCTTATATTCACTTCTTCTGTAGGTGAAGCTGGATCACGAATGGTTCGCGCGAACATAGACACATTTAGGTAGATTGGGGCAGTGGCGGTTCTACATTGAATTACACCCTGGGCGAGACCCCCCCTTCGAGCGCCCCCCCCCTCTGCCCAAA